TCAAGAGCGACGTCATTGAGGTGTTGCACACGTACATTCTTGGCGTTGAAAAGCACATTCGTACAGCTCGGAGGCCCTTTTGGATCTAGAGCAGCTCCGAAGATTTGCGTAACGATAGCAGAGTAGCACATCATGTCTTTGAGAACTTGAACCGATCTATATTCATCGTTAGCGGCACCATTACCTATCTCAAGAAGACGTTCGGGCCAGTTGTTTCCAGCATCCCTTGCTCTCATGTTGACGTTCAATCGCAGTGAAGAGAACAAAGAACAAAGAGAAGACTTATGAACACAGGCTTCCACGATGTCCTCTCTTGACCATGTTCAACAACTGGTAGAACTTGTCGATAGTCTCCACCAACTATCATAACCTTTCCATCATAAGGGAGATTATTCTGCATGATATACTTCAACAGAAATCCACTGCTTTTAGAGCGGCTTTTGGTTCCATAGAAATTTCGTCCCAAATTATCATATCTACGGCCATTGTTTCCCTTGCCTCCTTTTGTTGACGCTTCATAGATGAACTTCTGTTACCGTCTGCAATGTTGAACGTGAAAAGGAAACTTACGGTTCTTCCTCTAGGCAGGAGATTTGCTGCTATCTCAGTCCACGCGACACAAACTACTTGAAGTCGTCGTCCGATGGCGATATCATGCATCGTGTTATATGAGTAGGTTTTCCCACTTCCTCCATGGCCATCTATAAATATGCATCTGTTCCTGGGTCTGTCCAGTGCGTTGATAATTTGGTCTGCGGCAGCCTTTTGCCTTTCATTGAGAGTTTCATATAGGACTGAGCCTCTCGTGTTCTTCATTATCCACTACAGAAGATATTTCCAGTGGACGTTCACCGACAGGAGACAGCACTGTCTCCATAAGATGCTTGCCCCTAAGAGCCAGTCGGTCGAGAGCATCAAGGTATGTGATGCAATTGGCAGTTTGCTTCCGATTTCTCGATGAACGAAGTCATCTGACATTAAAGGATAAAGGATAAAGTCTTCGCCGTTGATCAATCCCTTTGTGGGATGCGGCACGCATTCTACTTCCATTCAGAATCGTAGTGGCTTATTGAATGCGATGTGGCCTATACTTGCGGTGGCCAGCCGATGTACAAGTCAGTGTTTTATCCTCCCAGACGAATCTGGTACCAATTTACCGTCCCGGAAGTAGAAGGCTTGGTTGGCCTGGGCGGGAGTCGACCCGGGATTCGAACCCGGCGCCGCGCGAGTGGTAAGCGCGCCACTTCTCACTACACCTCCGCGCCATCTTACATCATCTGACATTGCAGCGGAAAACTCGTTCCACAAATCCTGCGCCTGCACAACCTCAAAAAAGCAGAGCGATTAGGCAAAGAAGCTTCGGATGCATGCTGCTGTCTGGTAGTGGACTGCTTCCCTAAACTTCGACGAAAATAACGGTCATCATCGAGGAACCCCCACGCTTAGCAGCCTCTGGTTCTGTTCGTCGTCTCATTTCGCAGTCCTACGGACTGAACTCTTTCCCTCTATATCCCCAAAAGAACCGCAGGCAAGGCATTACAATGGGTGAGGCGAAACCGTGTACATCCGTCCAATGAGCCTTCCAGTGTGACCAACCACTGCGCTGCTTGAAAGTGAAGTGCTCCAGAATTTGATAGTATAGAGCCAGAGAGTCGATCGCGGAATCAGAGAGCACGTCCTCACAATTCGAGACATACTGCCTGTTGAGCTCGAAGTATGCCGTTAGAGTTGTGAAGGTTTGGCCAGCCTAGTCTAAGTACTGTTGTTCTTGTCCCTGCACAAAACGCACCGTCTGGAATTCAGGCAGGTGAACAACTGATCTGCACACCGTGTGCGATTTGTCTCGCATTTTGAAGCCGAAGATCCTATAATGCTTTCTGATGCACATATCGTGTATTAAGATGTTTCTTGATCGCGTCACAATCCCATTGTTGTTTAATTCGATCGGTTTCAATATCGATTCGAGAACGATCTTGTCCATTATGAACATACTTGTAAAGGTACTTGACGGCTGATATCATGCCACAGATTCCCAAATTCATGTGGCAGTCATGCTTCAGAATCAGGTACGGATTCCACGGCACAACCCACTGGTCGTCGTGCAGAGCACCATTGACTTCAGCAGGAGTTAAATTGCGACGTCGGGTATCCATCCACATCAGTAACGTTCTTTTCTCGTACCTGCTTCGAGAATTTCTTTGAAACAGGACCAATTTCGCATGCAAGGAGAATCCTGTTGACCGCATCGCCTGTGTGTCATATAGGATGTCAGAGAAAAAAAACCGTAATAAAGGGACGAATAGATATGGAATGCTAAAAGGGTAGAGAAGCTTAGGAAAATAGGTATTCACCGTTAGGAAAGACTCCATAACCAACTAGATTAATAACGATTAAATACCGACCAAGAAGCTCAGAATCACAACAAACAACATTATAACAAGAAGGGAGAAGTGGTATCGAACAAGTGGTATCAAACCAGTGGTAACAAACAAGAGAAAGGGTAACAAAACCCGTAGTAAAGAAAACAGCGAAGTAGTGATTAATGAGTAACCCGTGATAGTAACAGTAAGAAGATGTAACCCGTGATAGTAACAACAACAAAAATAACCCGTGATAGTGTAGTAAAAGATGTAACCCGTGATAGTAACAACAACAAAAATAACCCGTTATGGTACTGACTAGAATCTACAAAAACAACCAAAGAAATATTCACAGCTCGACACTATAGCCACTAATCACATCATCTGACAGGTCGCTGTCAGATGATGAGGGCTCTTCAGCGCCCATATCACCATAACTGGCATCCAAAGCCTCTTTCAATCGCGCGGAGTCCTCCTCCTCTAACGTCTTCCCACACCAGGCCTCGCAGAGGTCCCT